TTTGAAAAATGACATTTTTGCAAAGATTTTGATTTGGCTTATTCTCATTTATACCTTTTAATTCTATCGATATGTGTTTATCCTCATTTGGGTTTTGACAAAAAAATGTTTCATCTTTTGTCCTCATGAGAAACAACCAATTTTCTGAATAAATTCTAGTTTAGTTTTTAGTTATAGAGTTTTTTCTTTTTGATCTCTTATATGTGTGTTTGTAGTGACATTGCTCAAGCTCTGTTGTTGTTCTTCTTCGAGGCTAGAATCTCTCTATGGGGAGCCTCTTTGGCTATATTCACTCCAATTGCCAGAACTCAATGGATGGCTGTTTATAATTTTGAGTCTTGGTTGGTTCAATTATTCCTTCACATTTTGATGGATTTTTGGTTGTTGTTAGAGAGAAGCTCCAGCTTTTCTTGTTGATCATCTGGAGAACGGACACTCCAATGGCTTCCAGCTCCACACAATCGAACAGTTAGCCAATGCTTATGAAGGAGTTTCCTTCATTGTTTGTGTTCTCAGTAAGCCACACAACTCGATCTCCGAGGTTTATGGAGCTGAAACGGTGTTCATTATCACTTTTCTGATAAAAAAATGTTATGGAGAAAGATATTAAAGATGGTAAGTTTCTTGAGTTTGCTTGAAGATCGGCTCCGTAGGAAAACAAAAAGAGAGCGTCTTCTTTCAGTAGGAAAACAAAAAAAACTGTTCTTTCATTCATTTCATAACCGTTTCTTCTTCGAATTCGAAATATCAAAAGTAGTAACATTAGGTTCAATGAATTAGGATGATGATGATGAAAGAGTTTGGTGGTGTTGATATTGTTGGTTGTAATATTGATTGACAAGACTTGGAAGAATCAAAGTTGAGATTTTTTTTAGTTGTGGGTTTCAAATTCACAAGATTGATCCCATGAAACATAGTTCAGTGATATGATCTTTTGTGTTTTGTTGGGAGATCAAAAAAGGACAGCAGTTAGTGTCAGTTTTGAAAAAGCAGCCAACGAAATTGGAAAGAGTTTCC